AGCTTCGTCTTGCACGCTTGTTTCCAATTGTTTATTTCTCTTAGTGGTGCTTGATTTACATGTGAATGCCCGGCGCTAACAGATGCTTCTTCGGCTACTAACTACCAACCCTCCCACCATCGAGGCTGTCGCGAGAGGGTTCTTCGACCGTCTTTTGATAGACCATTGACCTTCTCCTTCTTACGAGATAGAAAGAGATCTTTCTCTCTCTCTCTCGTTTAATCAAGGAACTGATCATCATTTCGATTAACATCTGATCGATCGCTTAAGTAATTGTATAATATAAAGAAATGGATATATAAAGTGCGCTTAAGGTTTCGTTAAGATGTATGATTTTTTCTTCCAGCAAAGTATGATACATGTGTATGTATGTATGATAAATGTATATTAAATTTTATTAAACAGGACATGTGTGTGATTTATATCATTTAATTCTCAATCTCATTTTTAATACGGCTTATGTAGATAATTTATGACTTAATGTATAAAACACATAGAAACCTTTTGTACAAAAAGAGAAAATTTAGTTTGTCTCTTTTTCTGTTTAAATTGTTTTTAAATTAGAAAGTACAAAAAAGTACAAAAAGTCAGAAAAAATAAAAAAGCTTGCCAAAGAGGAAATGTTAAAACAATGCTATTGTAATTTGAGGTGACATATTGAAATGCAATTTGAGTTCCCTGCAAGGCGAGAGATGTTTATGCACATCGACGAGGAGCCAAATTAAAAGTTATCAAACCCGACATACACTGAGAGAAGCCACGCGAGAAGTCCACACAGTTTCCAATTATCGGATAAAACATTATTCCCCTTCCATTATCCGCGATAAAACCGGCCAGGGATGACTTGGATTCGCGCCAAAAATATATATTTAGGTACAGGATACCTACCGCATGGTATTAATAACTTGATATCACTTAAAATATCGTACAACGAGACTTCGTCTGTAGTCTGGCTACTATTTCCGTCAGAGATTGCGGCAGATGCATTCTTATTTCCTCAACCGCTGGCCAGCAGAGCCGAGAGACGCCGTCGTAGACGACTTTTCGCACGTACTCGCACATCGTCGATCCTGTTCGCGCGATTTCTTCGACTACCTCTGTAATTCTTCCGTGACTAACGGCTGAACGACGCTGCTGAAATCTAAACTGCATGAATTAGCTTTCACGCTCTGCTACACGCGTATATTTTATGATAGTAATACGAACAGAAGTGGGCAAAAAATTAGTAAATAAAAATATCCACAAGCTTCGTTTCTTCTCTACTGAATTATACATAATTAATGTGAGACTTAATAACTCATTTGTATGCTAATTAAAATTCTATTTAAAATAGTTCAATTTTATGGATCAGAAATAAATATGTCAAATATATATTTTTGTTAAAAAAATTTAAGAGCATATTTATATCTATAATTATTTTTGAATTATTTCTAATAATTATAAAATAATAACTTCTCTCGTTATATATATAAGTAATAAAATATTCGTATGTTTTAATTATTTAGAATAAAAATTATTATAAAAAGTTATTTAGTATTATTTTGGTAAAAAATCTATATCAAGATTTGTGTTGTGATGCCAAAGGTAAAATATTTTGCAAAGACGTATGCTCAACAGTCGCGTGTTATTTACGAGGCGCCGTTATTTCTTAATGTCATCTCGGCGTCGAAATGCCGGAACATTATGGGGCGTTTACTGAGGGAATCAATGAGTACGGTGGCCAAAGTGACGTGAGGTGGGGAAACCAGAGCGGAGGTCCTCTTGAAATTTCCGCATTGCATTCTCGTGTGAGAGATTCATTCTCGTCACGCGAAATATTTTCAACACGCAGCGCGTGAAACCATACTAATTTGCTACTACGATACTATGGCAAACGAAAATAATAAAAGTAAAATCACGCATTGCTGGATAAAATAGTAGCTTACTTGAACCATCATGCGAGTCTTATTTTAGCATCAAGCAAGAACACCAATTGGCGAACCTGAACTCTACGTTACATTTGGCCAACGCATTATTACGTGATGTTGATTTTGGACAATGGTACGCAAATATTGGGCGGGAATGGCGAAAGTATCCTTTCATCACCACGGAACTCTAGATATTTTCTCGGTCTAACTTTCAGTTTCCTTCTTCTTCTTTCTCTTTCCATTTCTGGTTCCGACAGTCACTTCAGAGTGTCAGGAATGCTTGACTCGAGGCATGGCATCCCGCAGAGTTGGCAGAGTCTGACGATTAAAGGTGCATCCACAGTAATCATTAATTCCAAATATATATCCTTCGAAATTTTCCATATTGAAAGAAATTTTGAATAAAAATATTCGCAAAAATATTTCGCATTGTACTCATTTGCAATCGTAAGCCTATATCCATCAACAATACTTTTTAATTATATTATCGTAATAATTTTAAAAATAAAAAAGATGTACATTCTAGTTTATACACTTTAATTATAAGTCTGAGATTTAATATGTGATCATATGGTGATCATATATAAATTGATTATTATTCATTCTCTCAGTAATCAAAATAGTCGAAAGTGATTTTTTAAACATAATAATATTATGAGCAGATGATCTACATTTTCAAGTCTATAAAAAAAAATAATATAAATTATTTTTACAAAAACATCAATAACCAGCATATCAAAAATGAAATATTAATCTCAAAATTTAATTCAAAGTTCGTTTTCGTAGACAATCCGAAAAGGATTATGAATTTCCATTCTATGCGCAAATTGAATGCAATTTGAAGAATTTTGAATGCCACTTAATCTTGACGGGAGGCCTCTATCAAGGTGATAGCATGGTCTCGCACATGTCAGTAAACAAATTGGAGCACTCAAAGACAGTCGAGTGCTATTCAGATAGTCATCGACATGTATTGCCGACCCTCGAATACGATCGGTGCCGCCGCGCATTACACGTCGTTGTTATCTCGCGACAATAAAAGATCGTGACTAAGATGTACAAGTATAATGTGTGTAAACATAGTCCGAGGATCATCGATAAAATCAGAAGATAATATCTATCAGCTGGACCACACAACAATATTGTACAAATTCGTCAAACTTCTTTCCGAAAAAATATATCTATGAAAAAAAATTATTAAAACATGAGACAATGATCATTATATTTGTGTTATGATTATCCAGATATATTGTTGCGCGGTAAATTGATGCAGGACACGTGTTTTTTGCCGCGGCGAATTTTTAAACTACTTTTTAAATTTATCGAACTTGCTTATAACAGTTCTCGCAGTTTTTCATTACGAAGCCATCCGTTCGAAGATTAATGTAACGATTCTTCCGCCACTTGAGAGATTCCCATGTTTGAAAAATGCAGTACGCTACATCATAACGCCGAAAATCGTCCAGATAATATCCGTATTCGGACGAGTGCTAATAGCCATGGACCACGCAGGGAGAGAAATTATTTATTCATGCAAAACTTTCGGCGTGGAAATTGATTAAGGCCGATAAATCAATCACCGGAGAAATGGTGGCCAATGCCGTGCGATTTCTGCGTCAAAATTAATAAATCGATTTAATTGATTTAATAAGTCGATCGATTTATGGACGTAATCAGTGTCGACCTGACAGATTTATAGCTATTTCTTCGCGTAACGGTCCTCGAACGTGAACTCCTCCAAGACGCATCATCGATGCGATCGATTCGTCGATCTGATCTTGAAAAAAAGAGGGCTACTCTGATCGATCTATCATAATGTAGGTAACACATAATTTCGGACGCGCTGATAGCTATCTTTGAAACTACCGAGAGAGACCCGAAAATTTATTTTTTAACTTATATATATTTGTTGCTTATATTAAAGTTGCTCTCATTTATACATATATTTACATAAAGTGCGAAAATAGTATATGTAAGATATATTTATACTAAAAGAAAACTATTATTTTACCTGGGATTTAATTCGTCAAAATTATTTAAAATATAATCAAGTATTTCACTGTCCTTAGCATGCTTTGTAATTGTGAAAAGAAATCTATTAACACGATCAATGTTTCGAAATTTTGAAGATACATTTTTCAAACAAATAGCTACTTCTAAATTTTAATCGTTCAAATACTCTTTAATAGAATTAGAATGTGTAATGCAAATTAGAAATTCCCAAATTCTATTATCAGAGTTTAACATCCATTCTTCAAGTACTATCTTCCAAAAACCAGTTAAATTTGTCTCTGTCTGTATACCTTTACAGTATGTCCATTCCTTCCACCACGGTAAAATTCTACACAATATCTCATTGTAACAGTTTTATTAGAAAATTGATTTTATTTTTGCAATAATAAAACAGGAATTTTTGCATAATTTGTGTATTATAAATGAGAGATACAAACATATAACAATAATTTTAATATTAATACAAATAAAAGAAGTGTAAAAAAAGTAATTAAAACCGATATGTAATTACGAAGATACACCCATAAGAATAAATATATATCTTTCAGAATAAAAGATCTTAAAAATTTTTTTAGTACTTATATTGTATATGTATACATTTATATTGTTAAATTTGTATTTATTCAAAAATATTATTGTTTAGATTACAGCGTGCAAAATATTTTTGCAGTTGTATAATTATTTAAAGTAAAAAACACCGTAGAGAAATATTTTTAAGTCTACATTTAATAAACATTAAATATATGTATATATGTATGTTAAATATATGTATATACATACATATTTTATGTATATTTAACTGAATATATTTGACTAAAAATATGTATATTTGACAGCATTATAATTTATTTTGTTTTTATATAGCAATGATAATACGTTTTACCTCTATAAATTTTTTTTGCGTTATTATATTTTCAAAGCTTAGAACTTTTTCAAATAGTTTTATACTCTACAATAATAATTAAAATTGATTAATTTTTTTTAAGATTTCGTTAAAATACTTAATATTTTTAAAGTTTTTAGAATGAATAAGAGTAATACAGAAAGTTAATTATCATTAAGATAAATATGTGTGTAAAAAGTACATTTTATACTACATATATATTTTATAGAACAATTATTTAACGATTAGTCATTGTAAAGGAATGGATTTCATTGGCGCGTTTTCGTATTTTGTAATAGATAAACTCAATTTGTTGATTTACGAACTTTTTCACCTTTTCACGTATCTAAAATTAATTATTTATATATATCTACTGTCAATAAATAACACTTTTTCCGCATTATAAGAATATAATTTAATTTCTAATTTCTATCGTTAAAAACAAACTATCTATTTAAGATGATTAAAATAAATTATTCATATAAATATATTTACAAAAATTAAAATTATGTTAAATAAAAAAACAATATATATGAATATCATATCTGAAATCACAATATTTACCTCTTCAGAAGAGATCAACTTCCATTTAAAAAAATTTTCAGCAGCAACAATCCGTTCTTCTACAAACGCTTTAATCTAAAACGAATTAAAATATTTACAGTATGAAATATAATTTATTTTTGCACAAAAGTCTACGTAATTTCTAAGTCATAATTTCCACATAATTTCATGTTTCTAGCATAATTATATCCAGAAATTTTGTGTAATATAGTATGTAAACATAGATAATATCGCGCGGATTAATATCATAATACTAATAAATGAGTGTACAGAGTACAAAATGTTTTACATTTACCTTCTGCAGGTGTACCTCAGAATACACATTATTAATTAAAGTGATCAATGCTGCACCCGTACTGACTTCTCTATAAAACCGGAATAATAAGTAGGTACATATTTACATGAAGTGCGAAAATAGTATATGTAGGATATATTTATACTAAAAGAAAACTATTATTTTACCTGGGTTTTAATTCGTCAAAATTATTTAAAATATAATCAAGTACTTCACTGTCCATAGCATGCTTTGTAATTGTGAAAAGAAATCTATTAACACGATCAATGTTTCGAAATTTTAAAGATACATTTTTCCAAGAAATAGCTACTTCTAGATTTTTATCGTCCAAATACTCTTTAATAGAATTAGGATGTGTAATGCAAGTTAGAAATTCCCAAATTCTATTATCAGAGGTTACTATCCATTCTTTAAGTACTGTCTTCCAAACACCAGTTAAATTTGTCTCTGTCTGTATACCTTTACAGTATGTCCATTCCTTCCACCACGGTAAAAGTCTATACAATATGTTAAAAATATATATTATAATAGTATATTAGCTAACAAGTTCAGGGGATTGTAAATCGCATGATCGGCCGATTTATGACCCGCACATGTTGGCTACGATATTTTGTGTGTCCGGTGCGTGGAAAGAGAGCCCTTTCTAAAATCTCATTATGTGCGTAAAGGGCGACTTTTCGCGCGCCGGTTGTACAAAAGTATTTAGAGCATATAACCAATTATTTTTAACATTATTCAGTAAATTTCATAAGTTACAAAATATTTAGTAAGTTACAAGATACAAGAATATATGATTATAACGAAATAATTATAAAAAATTACTTTTTATTTTGGAAGAGATAATCTTCTAATTGATATTTCGCCATTTGTAGGCATTTGAGATGCTCGAGAGTACATGCCCATTTGGCGACTTCTTGTCTTAAACATTTAATAAGATCGTCTTCTTTAGAATGTTCTTTGTATCCAATGCGTTCAAGAACATCATTCAATATTTTCAGTATGTTTTCCTAAAAGTTTTTGAAATAATTAGAATTAAGAAGACATTTAGAATATATTGTACGTTATATTTTATTTATGATAAATAAAATGTAATATAAACAATAAAGAAAATTTGTTTTCAATACCAGAAAAATGATAATAAGCTAATGTCCTAAAAATTATTTAAATTTTACGAATTTATGTCACAATTTTGTAAAGTATTTTCACAATTTACTAAATAATAACACATATTTGTAACAAAAGTTATATCGTTTTTTTTCAATAAATGTTTTCATTAGATTGCTTGTATCTATAATTAAAATAATATTAACGGTAACATGAAAACAATTGATTGTTTTTAAAATTGAATGTTTAACATTTAAAACGTAAAACTGGGAATACGCAAGTATTTTCTTTACAAATAATTCTTTATCTAAATAAAATTAAGGTAAAACATGACTGAATTTTCTCGGGTATACTTCATTATCTTCGAAACTTTTTGAAAATCTTGGTTATTATATATTTTATATGCAACAATGTAATACATACTACTTTTATTGATGAAAAATCTTATCATTTACCTTGAAATGGCCTAAATGGCCAAATTTGGTATTTTCCTCTGAATTGTAAATTGGAAATAATTTTGACATACTTTCAAGAGCTTTGATCATAGGATACCATACCACATAATTTGTCTCTTGCGATAAGAATTTTATAAGTTCCAAAAATGAATACATATCGAGTTGTTGCATCGAAAAGAAATAAAACGCGTCATCGATTAATTGAGCACGATTATGAACATTTATGCCTGGATTTGCATAGTTTCTAGAGTTCAAATATTTGGCAATGATTTGCCAGTTTTGAGGTTCGTAATTGACACGATGATATCCTATAGTAAATATATTCATAATATTCTTAAATTTTTATGATGAAGGTTATTAGAAAATATCTTTAAATATCCGTTTTTTCCTTTCTTTTATGTTCAAAATAAGGAAAATACTGATATTCTGTAGTAATATATTTAAAATAACTTATATAGTATTATATTAGTATTATATTAGTATTCTATTTAAAATAGAGTTTGAATTCAGTGATTTACTATGGTTAATAATAATTTACATTAAAATCATCGCATACTATCGCGTTCATTTAATGTCCGAGAAATATCTTCTATTTTTGTTAAAATATATAAATATATGCGTATAAAATTAATCCGTACATAAAAACATATATATATATATATATATATATATATATAAACCTTAAAAAATAAAAAAGTAACCCCTTAATATTTACCAACCTTGTTGTAAGTCAATTATTAACAATTCATTCTCTTCACAATAAATTCATCAATTTCTATGTATGAAATATTATTTTGTACTTTATTGTAGGTATAACGCATTTTAATTGATTTTAAAATATTTTCTTTCCATTTTATAGTAATTATAATTATAGGTAATAACCAGTCATCGTTAACTAACTGGTAAAAATTATCTATCGATATTCTCAAAGATGTACAGTTAGAGTATTCAACCTTCAGCATAGGATAATGTTTTTGATTTGTCCAGGCATTCATCAACCATTTTACATGAAATATATTGCGTTCAGCTGTATATAGAGCATCTTGCATAGCACCCCAGAAATCATCAATAGTTACTGAACTAAACATACTAAATTTGTAAAAAATTATTGATTAATTATTGACTAATAGACACCATATAAATTGTATTATTGCAATTGCATTTTAATACGTGTATGTAATTTTGGAACATAATTTGATGTAAATTAGTTAAACTATAATTTAATAAAACATGAATTATTCGAGATAGAAAAATTCGAGATATTGAAACTAAAATAATAAAAATAGAAAGATTTTTGGTCGGAAAAAAATAATATAATAGTAAAATGGAGAAAGATAATTAAATAAAGAAAAAATTAATATAAAACAGAAAAATTAAAAATATTTTATAAAATGATGTTACTCACTGTTCATTAAGAAAAATCTCAATACCATGTAGGTACAATTCATCCAAAAGATGCTGTCGTAAAATACGCAATATAACAGGTGCTGCGATAATAACATTATAAAGAGCGTGCAAATTAAATACATTTAAATTTATATATTCTAGTGTTCAATAAATGCATGAAAACATCCATAATTACGCAAAGAAATGTTCAAGAATTTATGGACAATTTAATTATGTGATATAGAAAAGTTGTTTTGTTTTACCTTTGATGTAATAAGAAAAAGAGAAAAGTGATTCAATTTCCGAGGTTTTGTTGATTTTTGGTATAAGAGGATCCATAATACCCAAAAGATAATGATCCAACTGAAGAGATTCTAATTTACTTTGTACTGCAAACAGATCTAATATACTTGTGTAATTTGAATCTTGAAAAATCTGTAAATAAATAAAAGTTTAATGTGAAATTAAATAATCAATAAATATTTTCAGTGAAATGAGCTCATGCACGAATTCTTGACATTAAGCGACAATAATTGTTTATAACTGTTTATTATTGTTCATTACTAAACAAATAGCTTTCTTATTTCTTATAAGTGTGATATTTTACTTGATGATGTGTGCGACTATTTGCTTAAAAATAGATATTATTGCAATTGTTTTTTTTTCGTATTTAAATCATTTTTTATATTTTAAATTTTTTATAATTCAGAAATTTAATTAGTGATCCGTCAGTGCATTTATAAAAGACGTTTTCTTTATAATTATTTTATTAAGAAATTTTTTTAACTGCGTATAATTAAGACGGCATTATATATGTAATTAAATAAAAAAACAACCTTGTCGATCATATCCATTCCTAACAGCCTAGCAATACCCTCATTCAACCAAAAATCAGACCACGAGGATGGGCTAACCAGATTATTAATCCATTGAAGTGCCACTTCGTGTGCTATTAAGCACGCTGTTTTTATTTTATTCGAAATAGGATCTAACGTATTAATATAGAAAACATTTGAGGCTCTAAAAATTATTGTAAATAATGTGATTATACAAGTTTTATGACAAACACGATGTTTAATGGTTTTTCATATGCCAATTATCATACTCCAATTATATATATTACCTATAAAGAATATGTCCCATGCTATTATGCTGAGGACCCGCGGGAATTATAAGATGATTTGTTGATGAAAGGTTCTGAGAATATGCCATCCATTCGATTTCGAAGCGTCTTGTAACATTTTGAATGATTCTTCTTGCAAATTTTGTGTTCAAATGGAATAACATATTGTATATTCTGTCATACTCAATGATCGGGAACGAATATGAATCATATAGTAGGAGCGATATGAGATAAGTAGGCATTGAACGAGTGATTTTGAAGTGAGTCCACACCATGTCATTTTTATCGACAGTTTCTTCTCGTATCGGCATAGTTGACCAAACAGAATACCCCATATAATGTCTAACACTAATATTAAACGTAGCCTTAAATGCAGGCTCGTCCCAGCATGGAAACAATTGTCGCGCCCCAATTGCCCCGAGTTGTATTGCGACAAACAACCTATCATATTTTAATAAAATATTTCATCAAACAAGAAATGGTTAATCAACATTAAAAGTTAGTGACATTAAAAGTTATAATAAAGTACCAGGTTAGATAATATATTATATACAAATGTATATGTACACATGTTTTATAAATCGTGCTAAAAGAATAATATCTCGTATTTTATTACAGGTATTTTACAATATTTTCAACATTTACTCACCTTTTATCTGTATTAAAATGTGTGTAAGTTCTGAAGAAAACGATTCCATAATTATCTGTGAGTCCGATAAAGCTCATGTTTAATAAATAATGTCCTTTTGATAATATATCATCGAAGTGAAACGTGAGAATATGAGATTCATTTTTGTACGTAATATCTGACGGCTCATAAATTTTGAATGACTCTCTATTGGTGACAATAGTATTTAGTATTTCTATTTGCGGTTTTTGTGCGTTCAAACTTATGCTGTACGTTGGAATGGAAATATTGACGTAGGCTTCGCATCTACCGAAAAAGTTAAAACTTTCCATTTTTACTTCAAAATATGGTTCCAACTTGAGGTTATAATGCTCTGGTATAACATCGAGATTATAATCCGATAAAAAAGCTGTTGCATTTATAAATATTAGATTGTATAATAACAACTTTACCAACAATCTTTTCATGTCAAATCTCTCGTTGGAATATCTATAATAAAGTAATTTCTTATTTAAAAAAATATAAATATAAATAAAATGCAATGCAAAACTCTCTTTTGTATGTATTCTTTTTTTACGAAAAAAAGCAGAAAATAAATACAATAAGGAATATAAATATGCTGTCTTCTAAGCCGGGCAATAGAGCCAAGGAAACGAAAAATTAATTACTCGGAACTGTATCTCAATTTGAGATCCCAAAGTTCCACATATAAATTAATTTCGAAACTTACATATGGAGAAATAAGCGAGAAAAATATAGGTCCGAAAAGTCGCTGAAGCGGGAAGAGCAGTCGCCCGGAAAGTGAAAGACGCGGGTTCGTTTCCCGCTTCAGCGACTTTTCGGACCTATATTTTTCTCGCTTATTTCTCCATATGTAAGTTTAGAAATTAATTTATATGTGGAACTTTGGGATCTCAAATTGAGATACAGTTCCGAGTAATTAATTTTTCGTTTCCTTGGCTCTATTGCCCGGCTTAGAAGACAGCATATTTATATTCTTTATATTGAGAGCCGATAAAAATATTTATTTCTGAGTAAATACAATAAGATTAATTATTATTAAGCATAGATAATTATATAAAAGTTTAATATGATTTATTATTGTACGCATCGACATGTATTGTATATTTCAGTCTTATAAATTTAACTATATTTACATTGTAATGATATTTTCGATATTGTAATTTATGTTCAGCATATGTTTAGCGATGACATAAGTACGATCTTGCTATACTTTCTGTTATTAAAAAAAAGTTAAACAAACGAATTTATATTATATTTCGTAAATATATTATATTTAATAAAATATTTATTTGTAGTAGATTTATATGAAATATTTATATATAACTCATTTTGTGTAATTTCTTGCATTTGTTATCTTAAGTCATCATAATTTCTGAAATAAATATTGAACAAAAAAATTTTTGTTTTCTTAAATATTCTAGTTCAATCCTAAACTTAATTTTTAGACTTTAATATATATTATATATGTTTAAAATAATATATAGTACTTGTATTAATAATAATGTTAATTCTGAAAATTATGACTTTTGAAAATTAAATTTGTGCTTATTGTTTGTATTTTATATATAATTAAATTGTGTTTTGTTTATTCTTTATCGTCAAAATTAAATATATTCATATTTTTTTCTAATGACTTACCTGTTATATTAATACGTATGTAAATTAAAATAATTTTTTTATAAATAAACTGTAATTAGCACAGTAATATATACGACACGTCCTTATTGCGGGAAGTATATGTCACACAATTACAATCTTTCCGTTCCAAAAGATCATCGAAACTGATGACAATCTGATACTTGGTGCTATAATAAATATGTAATGTCATGTAAACAAGGTCGTCAGTTGTTTTCATATTTTTTAACACAATCAAATATTAATACATGAAATATATTTTCATATTACTTTAATAACAAAAAACAATAGTAATATTTCATATTACTATTGTTCTTTTGCAATGCGCATAAACAATTTAAAAATTTTATTTTATTTTTTAACTTTCTTTACTTTTTAACTCTTTATCGTTCATTTATGCTTATATTATGTTATATATATATTATATGATAATGAATAATATATATATGTATACATTGCAATAATAATTTTTATGCATATATTACAATAATAATGTTCATGTATGCACACCTTACAGTTTTTAATATATTATTAATGAGTAATATAATTTCGTTTTGCGCGCGGGATTATATTCGATCGATTATACAAAATGATATAAATATATATGTGCTATATAAAAATAAATCTCTTAAACTGATATATATTTTTTATTTTTTAGCAATGAAATACTGTTGCATTTTATCAAAATTTATACAATGTATTATAAAATATAAAAATGTTGCTCATTGTAACTGTTTTATTATAAAATTGATTTAATTTTTGCAATAATAAAACAGGAATTTTTGGATTATGAAAATGTACAAAAAAGATAACAATATAAAAAATTGTACTGCATAATTTGTGTATTATAAATGAAAGATACAAACATATAACAATAATTTTAATATTAATACAAATAAAAGAAGTGTAAAAAAAGTAATTAAAACCGATATGTAATTACGAAGATACACCCATAAGAATAAATATATATCTTTCAGAATAAAAGAGATCTTAATGTTCATTCCTTCCACCACGGTAAAATTCTATACAATATGTCAAAAATATATTATAATAGTATATTAGCTAACAAGTTCGGGGGATGGTAAAATCTGCCGAGAGTGCGGAAGTTTGGCGCACGAAACGAAGCCGAGTGTGACAATCCGCACGATCGGCCGATTTATGACCCGCACATGTTGGCTACGATATTTTGTGTGACCAGTCCGTGGAAAGAAAGTGTCTGTGAACATTTATGCTTGAATCTGAATAGTTTCCAGAGTTCAATAATCTCGCAATGTTTCGCCAGTTTTGAGGTTCGTAATTGACACGATAATATCCTACACTAAATATATTTATAATATTATTTAATTTTTATGGTGGAAGTTATTAGAAATTATCTTTAAATATCCGTTTTCTCTTTTCTTTTATGTTTAAAATAAGGAAAATACTGATATTCTGTAGTAATATATTTAAAATAACTTGTATAGTATTATATTAGCATTATATTAGTATTCTATTTAAAATAGAGTTTGAATTCAATGTCTTACTATAGTTAATAATAATTTACATTATAATTCATCGCATATATACTATCGCGTTTATTTAATGTCCGAGAAATATCTTCTATTTTTGTTAAAATATATAAATATATGCGTATAAAAATAATTCGTACATAAAACCATATATATATATATATATATATATATATATATATATATAAACATTAAAAAATGAAAAATTAACTTTTTAATATTTACCAACTTTGTTGTAAGTCAATTATTAACAATTCATTATCTTCACAATAAATAATTAATACATTAATTAATTCTCTTAAATATTCTTAAATTGTTATATATGTGTGTATTGAAATTTAAAATAATATTCAAATATGACAAAAAAATCTTTTCTTTTCCATATCTACGACGATATATACATATATCTTTTTGTCTCATTTGTGATATGTAAATATAGTCTTAAAACATTCATATGCGTAAAACTCTCATGTATATTTTCGTAAGAAGAATAATTCGGGATTGAAAGGAGGCTAATCGTTGAATTGTATATGAGCTAATGCAGTAAATGTCACCGACTTTAAGAAATTGATCCATGACATAAACGTAGCATCTAAAACTGCGAGAAATTCTACGTTAAGTCGTGCAAGGCGATTGTATGCAAATTGTCATCATTGCATTCGCAGTAGTGCAAGTCGCCTTGCAACGCGGTTCGTAACTCGATCGACCGATTATTTTTAAACAAATGATACGACTGGAAAACGCATTAATGGCGTTTATGACGCTGCAAAATCTCTATAAATTTAATGCAAACTAAAAATAAAAAATTTTAAATAAAAATATATTTGTTTCCACTTTTCTTATTATTTTTTTTCTTATTGGAAATAATATTTAAATTAACATGAAAAGAATAAATTTTTGGAAATAATATTTAAATCTTTAAAAATCGAATAAAAAATCATCAATATCAGTAAAGAATCAACGTCGAAAAAATTTCTGACAAATTCTTTTAAAAGGCGTATACTAAATTTGATAATTACTTTTTGTATTTGTAATTATTTTATAATCACGAAAAATAAATTTTTAGATAATTAAATGATTATGTTCAATAATCTGCATTTGAATCTATTTATCGCTCGAAAAGACAAGCTACAAGATTATTTAATCCATTCTATAATATGTCAATACGAACTGTCAGAGTCGGGCAATAACCGTCTACTTGTAAAATTCATTAATAAAAATTGATTCTAATCTCGCTCGCAAAGCCACCTGTGGTTGCAATTATCCGGTTGTTCGATATTTCAAAACGGCTTTTAACGTCACACCCCTAGGCCGCGATCTAGTTGCGATCGTTATTATTGGATCTGTTTGTTACAGTGCACAAGTCGGTATATAACCGGCTCTTTTTAATCGTATTAGAAAACAGTCGCGAGAAAAAAAGGCGCGCTATATCGATAGGGCGGCGAGAAAATAGCTGACGGCGATCGCAACATCGGCAACCGGAAACGCGTCGACATCTAATTCGCGAGAGACCAGATATCGATCTCGATATCGCACGCCGCGCCGGCCCGTTTCCGCCATCACCATTCGCGAGATCCTTTCTCCTCGTTCCATAAATTGCTCGTCCTGATTTCGCGTCTCTTATTTTTCTGAGAGACGTCCTGTCCTAAACTTTCAATCGCGGAAACTCCATTTCATCGTCTGGCGATCGTTCAGTTTTGACGGATAGAATACTTTCTCGCCCGTCGAGATGACGAATCGACCGCGATTGGCTACGATCCAATTATGTCTCTGATGAAAGTTTCCCAAGAGCGATTTATGTCACCCGTTCTCTCCTTGCTGTATGTCCTGCCTTTCGCCTCCACCGTTAAAAACATCGATCTGTGAATTCTGTTTCGACTTTACCACCCACGCGAGTATATCGCGCGCGAGCGAGACGAATTCCTTTTCTTATAACGTTGCTTTCACTGCATTTCGGCGATTATTTCTTCTCTCAAAAAATACAAGAGTGTGTGGAAAAACATTTTAATTAATAAAATAATGACAATGTGTCGAGATTGTTTTATTATTCGAAAGATATCATTGAAAGGATTTCCAATATTCTATTGTCATTTAATGACAATTTGACGATTGTAATTTTATATTCTACTGTGAGTCAGCTTGTTATCAATTTAATTGTCGTTATAAAATAATAGAGTAAAATAAGAAAAAACATTTTTAATGACAATTGAATTACATATTTTTAATTATTTCATAAAAGTATAGTCTTCTTTTCTTCGAGTGGGAGTAGACATTTGTCAAGTGTGTCAGTTGTTCGTATTTTGAATTATAATGCGT